CGGAGATCGCGCCATTTTGCACTCTAGCCTGGGCGACAGAGCGAGACTCCGTCTCAAAAAAAAAAAAGAAAGAAAAAAGAAATCACGGCCTTGTTCTGCCTTCTGGGGCAGCATGGAGTGAGATCACAGCGCCTCAGAAATAACTTTGAAAACTGCGACTGTGCTTTACAAAAAGATACCAGTATTATTAAATGCTGCCCCTACCTTTTAAAAATCAAACTCTAGAAAAACCACTCACCTGTTTGGCCTCTCCGGCCCCTACCCCTCCCTGCCCTCAACTGCAGCTGTGCGCAGCCAGTTGACGGTTTTCCTTAAAGGCCTCGGGGTGCTCGTCTCTTCTTCAGACGTTCAGCCACAATTTTTAGAGTGCGGCTAGGGAGAAGGGTAGCGCACTCTAAATTCATTTAGCTCCATCGTTGAAGCCCAGGTTCCTAGATCAGGGCACAAAAACAAATAGAAAACACAGTTTCTGGAAGATTGTAAAACAGTTAATTTTGCAGGTGCTTCGGCATCAGTGGTGGCGATGAATGTAACATCCCCGTCGGAGTGGGGGATAAGGTTCAATCACAGATGAAATGGTTAATACCTTATACGAAATTCACGGCAAAAAATCCTGAAACAGGACATTTAAATTCACTGCCGAGGCTTGGGGGTGGGGTGGGGAGCAGGGATCGGAAACGACGCTAGTGGTTCTTAAATGCGTTTTTACTTGGGAATGCCGGGCAGGGAAAGGAAAGGTCATCGTCTGTTTAATTTCCACCCCCAGCTCTGGACTTCCAGCATTAGCTCGCCGGGCCTCAGCTGTTGTACACACACGGCGAGGGGGGAGGGGAGGGCGGAGGCGCGGAGGAGGGGCCGGCTGGGAGGAATCTGGGCAACCTGCCGCGCATGCGCCTTTCCGGAGCAACAAGTGGGCTCCACAGAGGAAGTGTAAAGGGGAGGGGGGGGAGAACTGGTGCAGAGCATGGCGGTGACGTCAGCGCTCCGCCCGGGCGGCATCCCGCGCGGCCAAGCCGGGGACAGCG